GCTGCAGCAATGCCAGACGCTGAAGGGGGAGGTACGGCTCCTGGGAGGGTCGCCCCCTCTCAGCAGGCAGCCCAGAGCTGAGCCCTCCTTCACTCCCAGCATGTCCCATCAGCCCCCTCTGGGGCTGGGCCACCGCCCGGGCGTGGAGCAGGGCGGGCGAGAGTCTCGAGTCAGGCGCCGTCAGGGCCCCCTTGTCGTGGGAAGGGGCTGGTTCTGGTTCTGGTTAGCAGCAGCCCTGGCCAGTGTAACTAGCTTGTGCCAGGAGCAGCCTCCCACTCCCCAGGCTCCAACTCCAGCCCTGTGCTCAGCTGACAGCCGTGTATTGCCACATGGGGTCAGCACCCACAGCAGGGTCCCGGTGCCGCTGCGCACGGGGAGGGGCAGCACCTGGCCAGTCTGAGAACAGACCCGGAGGGAGGGGGGGAAGGGGCGGGGGAGTGACAAGGAGGACGTCCCCTGCCAGGGAGCCAGGCCCAGCTCGGGGGGAGACGCTCTGGGGAGGAGCCGAGCCCTCTTGCTTGGGAGATTTGAGACTAGACCAGTAAGGACCAGTCCTGCCCAAGCCAGGGGATGGACCGGGCTGGACCTGTCCATCTCTGACTGGCCTTCAGGCCTGAGCCCTGCCTGGCCCTCGCCGCACTGCCAACACGCGCAGCGGGGCAAAGGCCGGCAGGCGGCTCCCCTGTGCTGTCGCACTCCCAGGTGTTCTACTACGAAGAGGTGGTGCAGGAGCAGGAGCGGGAGCTCTGCCTGCAGCAGGAGCAGCTCCGAGAGGCGCAGGAGCACCTGGCCATGGCCAAGCGCAAGAGCAGCTCCACCGAGAGCAGCCTGGATCTGTACAAGAAGAAATACCAGGCCGCCTTGAACAGAGCTGGCGAGCTGGAGGGCAAGGTGCAGAGCCTGGAGGAGGAGCTCCGGGACATGAGCAGCCAGGTGGGCCTGCGCCTCACATTAGAAACGAGCTGGTGGTGCTTTCCCTTGGTGCCTTTGCCTCCTGTGGCACTGGAGGGGTTTGGGCATCTGGGCCTGGCCATGCTAGCAGGAGCCCCGCAGCCCAGCTGTGCCAGCAGGTTCCCCACAGGCTTCTTGCCAGCACAGGGCCCAGGCTGCACAGGCCCCATGGCCTTGTCTGTGCTGAGAGGTTTCCTGTGGTCGCCCTCCAGGGCTTTCTCCAGTTCAGCTGCTGGGGTGGGGGCTGGAGCGAACAATGCCAGCGGTGTCTGCCCTGGTGTGCCGGGCTCTGGAGGGGCTGCACCATGCTCCCGACACCTGGGATCGGAGGGGAACCACCCTGGTGCAGGGGCCCCGGGAAGGCCGTTAGCGCTGCTCTCCCATGGCTTGTGACCGTGCTGGCGGTGCCGAGCGTGCGACACGAGACTTCCAGCTCTGCTCAGAGAAGCACTGCCCAGCACTGGCCTGGGGCAGAACAGCTGGGAAAGCGCCCGGTGACAGTCGGCAGGTTGGACACCCGCTCTGCCCCGGTGTCAGGCTGCACAGACTCAGGCACAAGGCTCTCCATGGTGCTCAGTGGCCTCTGGCTGCCTCTGCTCTCCTCCCTGGGAGCCTCGTGGAGTGGGCCTCCTCCCCTGTCATTCTCAATCCTTCCCTCGGAAGGGAGCCAGGCCGCAGGCAGGGGAGCTGGCCCAGCCCCCACCCCCCGATCAGCCCCGCGGGTTGGCCGGTCCTGCTGGCTGGCCCCTCTGAGAGCTGCTCCTCGTCCCTGCTGCAGATGCGGGAGTGTGACGACACCATCATCAGCCTGTGCAGCAAGCAGCTGGTTCTGCAGCAGGAGATGACGGGCAGGAGGAACCAGACGGCCATGGAGCAGCTGACTCAAGAGCTTCATGCCACGCGGGAGGAGCTGTCCAGGAGCCTTCAGCACCTCCACCAGCGTGAGCAGAGCATCCAGGGCCTCCGCGAGGAGCTGGCTGCCACTCAGGCCAAGGTGAGCAAAGGGAAGTGGGGCAGCTGGCCTGGCTCTCTCCCTCCCGGGGCACTGGGCAGCCTGGGGCAGGGCCTGGGTGCAGGGCTGGCATGTTGTCAGTGCTTTAGAGAACGTCACCTGCACGCCAGCATTCACACCCACTCCCCTGCCCACTCACAATCACACCCCGCCGCACGTGGACGCGCTTACCCATTACACATTCACACACCGTCCCTCCAGAGTGCCACAGCATGCTCTGTTGGAGTCGTGTGGGACGCAGCACATCTCTGTTGGGACAAGGGACACCAGTGCTCTGGAAGCTGCACTGGCCCCAGCTGGAAACACAAGTCACGTTGGGTACCTGTCCCATTCAGGGGAGCAGTCCAGACCGGCGAGGGGCTGTCACCACCTGCCCTGCGACCTGGGGTGCCTCACAACACTTTGCTGCTGTAGCTCCCAGCGTGGGCTGCTCACAACCAGCCAGACAGCCTGAGGGTCACCCCTGAGTGTCTGTGTGTAGCCACAGCCCTGGACCAGCCCCTCTGAGCCCAGCAGCCTGTCAGCTACAAAGCAGCCACACTCTGGCTTCCAGCAGCCTTGGTTACTACCCGCAGGGCGACCCCAGCACACTCCCAGTCCTGAATTTTCCCAAAAAACGTGTGTTCTACACAGTCCATCCCTCTCCTGGGCAGTTCAGGGATTAGAGGAGCTTTGACCCTCAAAGGGGAAACAGTTTGTGACTTTAACAATTCAATTTAAACAAGTTTATTTAACTACAAAGAGGTAGATCTGAAGTGAGTACAAGTATAAGCTATTAGTCAGCAATGGTTACAAGAGAAATAAACACAAAACACTTCCTAGTAACTAAAATTTAACAAACTAGACTTGGTTCAAGGTAAAATCTTTCCCCATGTTCCTAGCAACTGGGCTGACCAAATGCTCAGGTCAGGATCCCCCCGCAGTGTCCAAAGGCTGAGGCAGTAACCAGCTCTCAAGGCCCTCCTGCGTCTCTGCCAGCCCCTGGCTGCAGACAGGGAAGAACAAGAGCAGCTTGCAGAGAAGAAACGGCCACTGGAGCCCCCAGGGCAATGCCCTGGATTTCCCAGAGACCCATCAGGTGAGGGGTCCTTATCCACACCTCCTCCTGCAAAGACACTGGTCACAGACTCATCCAGAATCAGATGCCGCACACACCTGGACCGACTCCGGACACCAGGGACTTCGCCTCCAAAGGACCTGGCTCTTCACCATAAACGTACTCGTGAGCCGGTTCACTTGCATGGGATCCCAACCTGTCCCACAGCCCTCCCCAGAGCAGCGGCTCAGAGCCAGCACAGCTGCAATGTGCTCTACAGTGTACCCAAACAAGGAAGCATCTGCTCATCACCCCTAGGCCGGGAGGCACGCAAGGGAGGGAGGACGTGATGTCAACAGCACAGGATAAGCCCAGCTGCTGCCAGCTGTTCTTCATCTTCCAGGAGTCAGCAACAACCTGGCAGACGTCCTGCACAGACAATCCACCAACCACGCGTGGTCCCTGACCAGCTGCATCATCCAATCAATATGTCACTGCGGGGAGGGAATCCCATTATAGACCAGCTTACCACCAAGGATTACGCAACGTGTCCAGCCTTTTGTGCCAGGAGACATGAGCCATGGGGCATTACACACTTTCCTCCTACCATGGGCTCAAGGGCTCCTGAGTGCACTGATTGCCAAGCGTGCCATGCAAGGCCTAGCAGGATGCTGACAGATGTCCTCCGAACGTGTGTCCCGGCTCCCATGTCACTTCCGGGTGCTCCAGACAGAGTAGCGCGGACCCAAGGGCAGGCACTCCACCCAGACCCGACGTTGCTCCATCTGACAGCCTGGGGGGTGGCTGGCAGCTCCCTGCAAGTACGAGACCCTGCTGCTCAGTGGGACGCTCCATGAGGAAGATTTACTCCGCCAATGGAAAAGGGGTTCACAGGGAGCCAGGGCAGGCCCCTGCACCCCAAACCCTCCACTAGACCTGGACGCCCCTTCAGTGCCCTCAAAGTGCACCTGGCAGCACTCCTGCCCCCTGCAGGCCGGGGCCATGCCCCCCCCCCATGCTGCCCAGATGGCGGATGGGGTGAGTGTGTGCTGACCACTGGGGAGAGAGCGTCTGACATGGGATTGCCCTTAACTTGATGGAGCCGTTCGCCAGGGGCTTGTCACATCAGCTCATGCACCACACGGCTTTGTTAGTTGCTAGCCCACCAGCCAGAAGGGCCAGCAAACAGCTCTGTGGCTGCCCTGCCTTACCCAGCACCCACGGGCCCAAGGCTGTGGTGAGCCTCACCGCACGGGTCGTCCCCCAGCTGCGTCACGCTGTCATGTCAGCCAGGCCACTACGTTCCCACGTCCATTTCTCCGCCGGAGCCACCGGGGCCTGATTATCCTACCTTGGCAGGGCTAAGCCTTTCCCGCCGGCTCCCCAGGCCTGTGCTTTGAAGGCTCACGCCAGCCCCCCCAGAGACTTTCCAAATGGATGATGCCGCATACATCAGCCTGCTACCCTATGGCGATGGACCGCCCCCTCCGGCCAGCACCGCTCACACCACCAGAGCACAAGCTGCATCCGCCGCATGCCCCAGGGGCAGCCCCGTGTCAGCTGCTGAGCGGCGGAAGCCCGGCTGTGCCCTGAGCTGGCCGCAGGATGCGACCCCATTCGGTAGGGCAGCCGCGCACTCAGGCCTCCTCGGGCCCACTGCTTGTCAGTCCCCGCCCGGAAATGAACTGGGGACGTGCCCTGTGGTTCTGCCTGACGGTGCCTGTGTGGCTCCCACGACCCGCTCGCTGGGCCTGCCTTTCCAGCGTCCTCCAGAGCTGGGGGTCGGAGTGCGCAAGGGGGGGGCCTGGGTGCAGCTGCTCTGCGCTTCAGGCAGGCAAGAGGGGCCATGAACGGCCCAGGCCCAGGCCCAGCCCCAGCCCCGCCGCTGATCTCGCCCACGTGGGAGCCCTGCAGCCAGCATGGCTGGCAGAGCTGCAGTTCTGTAGGGCGAGTAACTGTTCGCTCTGCAGCCGATTATCCAGGCTGACCTGGGTACCAGGAGTGTCACCTGGTTACCCCCACAGTCAGCCCCACTTGTGTGGCCGAGGCCCCTTGCAGAGAGGTGGCCGTATCGGCTTTGGCGAGGCCCCCCGTCCCGTGGCAGGTTGTTCCGCCCACCCTGTAACGGTTTGTGCTCAGCTGAGCGGGTCTGGCTTTAACGCCCAGCCCTTGGGTCGAGCCTTGCAGCCCCAGTCACATCACCTCTCAGTCTCCCGTGGAGACAAGCGACAGATCGAGCTCGTGAAGCGTCAGGCCAGGCCTTTTCTCCCGCCCTCGAATCGTCCCTGCAGCCTCTCACAACGTGCGCAGCAGCCCAGGCGCCGGTGTTCTAGTACCCCCCTGGCATTCCCGGGCTTCCCGTGCCACCCTCCCGCCAGGGTACCGAGGGCTGGGTGGCACCTCGCTACCACCTGCCCTTAGCGTGAGGGAGCCTCGTCTGTGCCGGGCAGGGGCCAGCTCCCCGACTGCGCCAGCCCTCCCCTCCCAGGCTGCGCAGGCTGCGCTGTCCCTCTGCCCCCGAGGCCTGTGAGCTCCCCCCCCAGGCGTGTCCAGCACCCGACCCTTGCAGCGTCCCACAGTACGGGACCCCCCCGAGCAGCTTTGCTGCCGGGTCACCGTGCTGCTTCACCCTCACCCCTTCCCTGGGGGGACTGTGACAAGGGGCCGTTCTTTACCCACGAGCAGTGAGTCCCATGCCAGCAAGTCGCCATATGGGAACATGGTTACATGTACAACAAAACCGTAGTAGGACTTGGCGCACCCCCACACCTGGCCAGGGGGTGACGCTGCCGCTCCTGAGACACCAGGTTAATTCTTTGAGCCGCATCCTTGCTAGGTGTGCCTTGCGTCGATTTCTGTGAGCGCTTGTCAGCTTTGCAGGCTTGAGCCGCAGCAGCCCCATATGCAAATAGCCGTCCCGTGTAAGACACGCAATACACAGTGGTCAGCGTCTCCTCCCCCTGCCTGACCAGAGCCCGGGTAGCGTGACGGGTGCGTGGCGTACCGCATACAGCGTACAAACACCTGTCTCAGGTTCACGCTGTCACGCCAACCTCACAGCTGTACGCACGGCACAGGGACCTCCGGGTGTTCCCGGCTGTTGGGGGAGGCCTCACATGCTGTGTTTTGGCACACTAGTCTATAGACTCAGCCCCTGGGGAGTCCAGTAAACCCGCTGCACCCTGCTGCCCCTGGGCTCTCTGGGGCCCGGCCCACTGGTGTCCTGCCTGTGGTTTCAGTGCTTGGCAGACGAAGAGACTCTGGTGAATGTGCAGACGGAGTTTGCCTCCTACACAGCCACTCACAGTCACGCCAACGCCAGCTACGAGAGCCAAGCCGCCATGGCAGAGAAACTCCAGCAGGTAGGACCAGCCTCCCCCCCATACTGCTGTCGGCAGGGAGCGCCAGGCGGCACTGAGCAGCCAGCGCCTGCCCTGCCCCAGCTCCTGGGCCTGCTCTAGGGCCAGCCAGGCCTGGCAGCTGGCTGGCTGCCCACGGCAGTGACTGAGCTGTGCTGCTGCGTTGCGTCTAGCAGCTGAGCCACGCCGACGAGGAACGCGCCAAGCACAGCCAGCGGGCCGAGGAGTACCAGTGCCTGGTGCAGGACTTGAAGCTGGAGCTGGTGCGAGTGGCTGAGCAGAAGAACAGCGCCATGAAAGGTAGAGCAAGAGGCAGCCGCTCCTCCTGCCAGCCGGGGCCCCTGGGGGAAAGCCGCTGCCCCAGCCACGTCAGCGCTGCCCATCAGCGTGAGACTCAGCGCCACGGGCCTGCCCCCGGGGAGCTGCTCAGGCGGTGGGCTACGCACCAGGCGTCTGCGGCAGCTGAGAACACGAGGAGCCCTGGGTGGGTGGCGGGGGGGGCTAGGCCCGCTTTGCCTTCCTTGCTGAGCCTGTGGGGAGCCCGGAGTCCTGGCTGCCGGGCAAGGATTGTACCATCAGCCTGGGGCGGAGCTGCAGCCAGGTGCTGGCGGGCCAGGGCAGCCCTGGCCTGGGGCACACAGTGCGGGCGTCTGTGCCCAGCCCCGTGTCGCGCTGCACACAGGGTGCAGCTGGGCTGGAGCTGCCCCGGCCGGCTCCTGCTGGCAGTGTGGCCATGGCGGTGGGGGGCTAGCGGCCTGAGCACCCTGGCTCACTGCGGTTACTGGCGCTGGCCAGCCCGGTGTGTGTGCAGAGCTGCGAGTCACAGCTCCGGTGGAGACGCCCGACAGCAGCCAGCGGCTCAGGGCATCTGCAGGAGGCAGGCGCTGGCACTAGCGTGGCGCTGCTTTTTCAGCTCTCGGGAAGCTGGAGCTGGAGGTGCAGAGCCTGAGGCAGGACACAGCTGCTGAGGTGGAGCAGAAGGAGCTGGAGGTGGCCAAGCTGCAGCAGCTGATCCAGCCACTGGAGTGCAAGCTCCAGGAGAGCCGCCGGCTGTGTGTGCAGAAGGAGCAGGTGAGCCCAGGAGACGGGGACCCAGAGGAGGGACAAGCCAGGGGCCCTGGGCCAACGTGCGTTCGGAATAGGGTGACCAGACAGCAAATGTGAAGAATCGGGACAGGGGGTGGGGGGTAATAGGAGCCTATATAAGACAAAGACCCCAAAATCAGGACTGTCCCTATAAAATCGGGACATCTGGTCACCCTAGTTCGGAGCAGAAGAGGCTCCAGCCTCCCCCCAGGTCTCAGGCAGCTGCGGCAGCACCTGTGGGGCCATGTGGAGGGGCCTGTGGCCGTGGGGCTGTGCCGGGGGGGGCGGGGTCCAGCCTGCGGGTGGCGTGGCCCCAGGGCAGTGTCTGGCAGTGCTGCGGTCTCTCTTGGCACAGATCATGCAGAGGAGGGATGAACAGCTCCGCCAGGCGCAGGCCGCCATGCGGCAGGCTCGCAATGCCCTGCAGCAGAGGGGGCTGGAGGTGGAGAAGCAGCGCGCAGAGGCCAGGAGCCTGGACGCGCGCCTGCAGGAGGCCCAGCGGGAGAGGGAGCAGAGCCAGGCGGCCAGCGACAGCCTGCAGGAGGAGATCCAGCTGCTGAGACAGCGCCTGCAGGACAGCCAGCAGCAGCAGCAGGCGGCTGGTGAGCGAGGCAGTCGCGCCCTGGCTGGGCCCTCGGCACCACCGGCTTCAGGCTCTCGTGGCTCGGGGAAGGCGGGCGAGACACGTTGCCTGCCTGGGGCGTTCCCCAGAGAGACACGCCCCGAGTCCTGGCAGTGCCAGTCCCTGCGGCACAGGCCCGGGATGTTCCTGCTTGGAATCTGCCAGCTGCAGGGTGCGGTGCCCGCGCCGCCCCCCCCCCGAGTGAGTCCCACCTGCCCCTCAGTCATACCGCGGGCCCCAGTACAGGGATAGCTGACCCTGGGGGATGGCAGACGGCTGAGCCTGCCCGTTCCAGGCATCTCAGAGCCCAGACACCCCGGTGATGGGCTCCAGCTGCCCACGAGGCGCAGGCCCTCGGCTCTAGTCTGTGTCAAGGGCGGAGCAGGGATTCTCCTGGGGGGGCAGCGGCTGGGTGAGCGCGTCCCTCCCTGTCTCTGGCAGCTCAGGAGCTGGTGCAGCAGGAGGAGCAGCTGAGCGAGCGCCTGGCCGAGGGCGTCCGGCTGGAGCAGGCGAGCCGCAGGCTGGAGGCGGAGCAGCGGGCGCTGCAGGAGCAGTTGTCCAGCAGCACGGATGAGGTGGAGCAGAGCAGGTTGGGAGCGGCCGGGGACCTGCCAGTGGCCCCTGGTGGAGGTGGGAAGAGCCCAGCAAGGGGCACAGGAGGTTGGCACCTGCCCGTGCCAGGCTCCATGACCCAGAGCAGCACCAGGCAGCACTCAGAGCTGTGGCTGTGGGGCAGGGAGACCCGAGGCAGAGCCACTCAGGATGGGAAGGGGCCAGGGGGCAGAGCCAGGGTTGATTTTGGGGAGCCTGCCGCGTGGGGCGTCCGGCTGGGCTCCTAGGGCTCGTGGGGCAGGAGGGGCAGAGGCTGGAGCTGCTCTGTCTTGGGGCCTCGCCCGCAGGAAGCTGCTGGAGCACCTGAAGGCGGAGCTGAGCCAGTGGAAGCAGAGGCACCAGGCGGCTGTGCAGCAGGGGATGCAACATCAGCACTCAATGGCCAAGATGGAGCTGAAACTGGGGAGCAGCCAGGAGCAGGCGAAAGCCCTGCAGCAGCAGGTACAGGCTGGGCGTGGCCTCCCCCTGGGGCTGCACACGGGGGGCCTGGCCCCTGGGCGCCAGGCAGGCGAGACAAAGGGAGCGCCCTGCTTAGGTGGGGGCGGGGGGCGGTCGCCCGCTGGACGTATCAGCCGTGCAGGAAGCGTTGTCTCAGCCAAACCAGCAGTTGCCCAGCTCCTGCAGCCCTGCCCGGCCCAGCATCTCCTCCCTAGGCGCTCCTGCTGCCCTGGCCGGTGCCCCCTGCTCGAGTGGGGGAGAGGGCGGCCTGGCCTCGCACCTGCAGCCCCATGTTCCCCTAGCTCCAGGAGCAGGAATCCACCCAGCAGGCCCTGCGGGAGGAGCTGAGCCAGCTGCAGGGCCGGGAGGACGAGCTCCAGCAGCAGCTGCGGAGAGCCCAGGAGCGGGAGCGCAAGCTGGCCAGCGAGCGCGAGGAGCTGCAGCGAGAGCTGCACAGCAGCGAGCAAGCGGTGAGCCCGTGACGGGGCCCAGCAGAGCGGGAGACAAGGCCACGCTGGGGCAGTGGCGGTGGGGGGAGACGGAGGCTGGCTGGGGCCTGGGTGTGGAGGGGTGAGCGCGCGCGCCTTGCTGACAGCCCTGCCTGTGTGCCAGCTGCGGGAGCAGGAGCAGACAAGCCGGGGCCTGCAGTGCAGCCTGAGGCCGCTGGAGGAGGAGGGCCAGCGCCTGCAGGAGCAGCTGAGGCAGTGCCGCGCCCAGCTGGAGAGCACCAGCAGCAGCCTGGGCCAAGCCCAGCAGCGGATACAGCAGCAGGCCGGCAAGGTGAGCGCCCGCCGCACAGGCCAAAAGCCGGCCCAGCCGCCGGCGCCCAGCTGACAGCGCTGTCCTCCCCGCAGGCCGCGCTCCAGGAGTCGGCCCTGGCCCAGCTGCAGGCGGAGCTGGAAGCCGCTCAGGCCAGAGAGCGGCAAAGCACCCGCACGCTGACTGCAGCGGAGGAGACCATCCAGGCGCTGACGCTGACAACTGCGTCCTGTCAAGAGAAGCAGACGGAGGCGCTGGAGAAGGTAGGGCAGAGCCGGGGCCTGCCACAGGGACCCCCTCAGCTCCCCTGAGCTGGAGCAGGGTCGGCAGAGTCAGTGCTGACCCCCAGGGCTGGTGCTGGGAGCACTCGGGTCACAGCTCCTCGGGCTCCCCCGCTCTCCGTCCCCGTGCCGCGTGGTGTGCGCCTGCTCCGCCTGCCGGCCCCGCCCTGGCCTCCAGCCTGCGACTCCCAGCGAGTGGGGTGTTCACACCGGCCCAGACGGGCGGGTGCCCCACACAGCCCCTCTGGCACCTGCGCTGCCTAGGAGCATGTTACCCTTCGGCACCCATGGGGAGCAGCCCCTCGCCCCGGCAGTCAGCGACCGCGTCCCAAGCATTCCCGCTTTGGTACCAGCACCCAGCAGTCAGTGCTGCCCCCCCCCCCCCCCCGGCCTCAGTGCAGCATTGGGGGCCTGTGCTGGGGCAAGGGTTCAGTAGGGGTCTCAGCCCTCCCAGCCAGGCCTGGCCCAGCGTGGCGGCTGCCGCGTGCACAGTCCTCGCTTCGGCTGGAAGGCTGGGGCCTGTGTCCCAGGCTGGGGGGTATCAGTACAGCCCCGCTGTCTGCCCCAGGGCCTGCCGCTCCTCCAGAGCACCCCGCCCCCACTGCCCCGTCCTGTGTGACAGCTCAGCGAGACGGCGCAGGACATGGCGGCCCTGCGGGCGGAGCTGGTGCGGACACGGGCCAGGGAAGCCCAGCTGGAGGAGGAGACGGCAGCCTGTGAGGAGCGCATGAGGCGGCTCAACGGGGAGCTGAAGAAGCTGCAGGGTTTCCAGCAGCAGCACGAGCAGGAGGTGAGTGACCCGCGCGCTGCAACCGCCTCCCTGAGCCCCCTCCACCCAGCCCCCACCTGCCACCTGCCACCACTCATCCCCGGCAGGTCCGGGCCTTCGAGGAGCAGCTGGGGGAGCGGAGCAGCCAAGTGCAGCACTGGCAGCGGCGGTACCAGGAGAACGCGCAGGCCCTGGCGCAGCGGGACGAGGACCTGGTCGTAGTCAAGGTGGAACTGGCCTCGTTGAAAGAAAAGCTCCATGGTGCCGCTGAAGAGGTAAGTGGCTGGGGGGAACGATGGCATCTCACGCAGAACCCTGGGGCTGGCACAGTACAGTTCCCTGAATGCTGGCAGGGCAGATGAGGCCGTTCGCTTTGCGGCCCTCAGCCCCCTTCTGAGCCCCAGGCCCGGGGCAACAGGGGCATGGTGCCTTCTTCCGTAGGGCTCACTGACTGGTCAGCGCCTGGGGATTTAGGGGTCGGGCCGCAGGGGGACAGTGTTGTGGGCTTGACCCTCGAGTGGAGCCTTGTTCGCATCCTAACCCCATCCAGACTCGTGTTCCTGGGGAGCAGGCAGGCTGGGAGCATCGGCCCAGCCCCCTGCTCATAACATGCCCTTCCTTGGCAGAGAGACCGCTTGCAGCAGGACCTCAATGTCTTAAGGCAGAAGTTCGTGGCCTCCAGCAGTGAGGTAGGCGTAGCCCCCCCCCGTGAGTGGGTGTTTGCTGCCAGCCGTGAGCCGCTCCCCACCCAAGGGCTCAGGCAACGCGTGGCCTAGGGGCAGGTTATTCCGTAGCTGTCCCCGGTGGACTCCTGCCTGGTTCGAGCTAGGAGCCTGGCTCGGCTGACCCCGTCCGTGTCCAGCGGCAGCTGTGCAGCGCCACGTGACCCAGCCACAGGTGGGCGGGGAGGGGCTCTAGCTTGGCTGCGGGGCTGGTGCTGTGTCACTTCTCTTGCAGGCAGAGGCGCTGCGCTCCTCCCTGGGGGCTGCACGCTCAGACAGCCGCCGGCTGCACCGCGAGAGCGAGCTGGTGCTGGCCAACGTCAGCCAGTGGGTGAAGGAGCAAAAGTAAGTGAGGGGGCTGGGCCGGAGCTGAAAGGAGCTGCCTTGGGAGTCCCTGCACTACTGCCCAGCCCCCCCCCCCCCCCACACACACACACACATACACACACCCCCACCCCCGCATGAGCAGCCGTGGCATCGGGGTAACAAGGCATCAGGCTGCGTCCCTGCAGCCCGGCACCAGCCATGCTTCTGCCTGCGCGGCATTTCCGCCAGACGCTGGCCACCAGCCTAACAGCTGCCTCCCCACGTGCCCATCACTGGGAGCCCCAGAGAGCGGGACTCTGGCTGGGCTCAGTCCAGGGACCAGCTGACCCTCCCCTCCGGCCCTGTTTCAGGCAAGCAAACGACAAACTGGGGCACAAGATCCGGGAGCAGATCAAGCACATCGCGCAGCTGACAGGCGAGAAGGAGTAAGTGGGACCAGCGCCTGGCACGGTGCAGACACCTGTCTAGACCAGGGCAGGTTCAAGGGCAGCTGGCTGTGCAGCAGCCCTAAGGGATCGGAGACGCGGGGGACGGAGGGGTCTGTGGCTCTGACCCCGCCCTAGCTGTGAGTGGGGGAAGGGCGCTAGCACCCCCATTGCTTTGCTGGCTCCCACATCCTGGCCCTAGCGCCGCTCTGCTGCAGCTGCCCTGGGGCTGTGACTGGACAGACAGGAGCAGGCTAGCCTGCCCCATCCCCCGCTGCACCCATGGGTTGGTCCTGGCAGCTGGGACAGCATCCCAGTGCTGGGAGCAGAGCCCAGCCCCAGAATTACACCAGCGCCCTGCAGGCGTGGGGGGCAGCCCACGCACTACCTGCAGCATGTAAACAGAGCTGGCCGTGGGGGCAGGGGAGCAACCCAGTCTGAGCTAAGCACCAGAGAGTCCGGTGGCACCTTTAAGACTAACAGACGTATTGGAGCATAAGCTTTCGTGGGTGAATATCCACTTAGGCAGATTACATGCGTCTGACGAAGTGGGTATTCACCCACGAAAGCTTATGCTCCAATACGTCTGTTAGTATTAAAGGTGCCACAGGACCCTCTGTTGCTTTTTACAGATCCAGACTAACACGGCTACCCCTCTGATATTTGACACCAGTCTGAGCTGCATCTGCCCCCTGGGCCATGGCCTGTTCTGCTCACTGTCTCCCTGCCCTTCCCCACAGCCACCTGCAGGAGGTGCTGGCGAGGCTGCAGCAGGAGAACAGGCACCTGAAAGGCGAAGTGGCCGAGCGGCGCATTGAGTGTGAGCGGCTGAAGGTGAGCAGGCGTTAGCAGGCCAAGCTGGGCCCTGTGCGCAGGCTCCAGCAGGGGCTGGGGGGCCCCTGCTGCCAAGAGCTACTGCTGATTTTGTGCTTCTTGTCCCAGGCTCTGCAGGGCAGCGGCTTAGCTGCACGGGCCGTGCTTCGGCAGCCATGGCCCCTGCTCCTGGGCGAGGAGTGAGGTCCCTCCCTTCTTCCAGCCTGGCACCTGCACGATGGACCCAGCAAGGACTGTACACGGGGCAGGCACGTCCTCTGCACCTACCTCAGCTCCCCGTGCGGGCCCTGGGCCCAGCCTGCACTGTGAAATAAAGCCACGGGCACAGGCTGTCACTGACCACGTGTGGTTTGGCCACGTCGGCAGGGGGGGCTGCAGCCCCCTCAGCAAACCCCGCTTGCCAGGAACAGCCCATGTATTTCAGCCATTAAAGGTGTTGCTAGTACAGCCCCCAACCCCTATCCAGCGTAGTCACTGGAGCAGCACTGCTCCCTCCTGCCACATCCCATCGCTGGAACGGGTGCGGGCCAGGGACCGCGCGTAGCACCAGCCCTGAGGCAGATTCTCTCCCCTCCCGCCCAGGAGAGGTGCAGTGGCCAAGGCCCAGCCTGCAGCTGTGAACACCAGCCCCTGGCGCAGGCTTGCGGAGCAAGCAGCCCGGCTGAGCACACTGCGATTTCGGTGGCCAAGGCCCTTGCTCTGACGCCAGGCCCCAGCGAGCAGCCGGGCCGAGCCAGCCCAGGGAGAGGATGCCACACCGCAGGGAGCCCGGCATTTACCACTGCCTGCTGTCGTAGGAGGGCAGAGATCAAGCCAATGGGGGGGCTCAAAGGTCAGCACATCCCCTTTCCCCACAGCGACAGCCGGGCTGCTGCCCTGTTCTCAGCCCAGGAAGGGCACTGCTACCTCAGCCTTAATGGAAGCCGACGGCAACTGGCCGTGCTGGGCCCGGGCTGCAACCCACAAATCACTGGCTCTGGGAGGGAAAGGGACCAGTGTCGGGGGATGTGGCAGATGCAGGGCAGGGTTCTCCCCCAGCGTAGGTCATTCACCTCCCCGCGAGGCTGCAGGCAGGTGTGCACTGTCTACGCTGGCGGCGCGCTGGGGATCTTGCACCAGCCCCTCTCGTAGAGCCCTGCGACGCAGGGGCAGCTGATCCAGGCCGGAGCCGTGCCAGGCACGCGGGAGCTGGGCCTCACACATCGGTGCCCAACAGCTTGGGGCTGCTTCACGCTCACACAGCCTTGGCCCCAGCCTCCAGTCGTGTTCGCACCTGCAAGGGGCCCTGCCCCCGGCCCAGCTCCACGAAAGGCAGCAGGACCCCGCCAAGCGCAGCACAGGACAAAGCAAGGGCTGGAGGCCACCAACATTTATACAAATAAAATTATTTCTCCTCTGTAGCAAACAGTGCCAAGGTGTGTGCAGGTGCCAGGGCAGGGCAGGGCCCCAGCACCCCAGAGTCACATTTACACACAGCGGGGGACAGCTCCCCGCAAGGAATCCATCAGCTCCAGGGAAGCGCCTGCTCACAGGCCGAAGCGGGCAGGAGTGCGGCGCGGCGTCATGGGCTCCCCCTGCTCCTTTCGCCCTGGAGTATAGATCTTCAAAGACCTGCGAGGGAGAGCAAGGGCCATTAGCCACGGGGCCGGAGGGCCTAGAACCCTGCCGGCTAGGCCAGAAGCCCCAGTGTTAGACCTGCTCCCCGCCCCCCGGGCGCTACTCACAGCAGTCGTTATCCCCCTGCAGGAGAGAACATGCCACAGGCAGCCCCGTGCCGCGGCCCTTTGGGGACAGCCCCTGCTGCCATGCCCAGCACCCACCTCACGCTGCCCAGTGGGTTGCGGCGCTCCTGCTCTTCCCGGCGTGCTCGCAGCTGCTCCTCAGCCAGAGCCATCTCCTCCTCCATGGCCGACACCTCCTCCTTGGCCCGACGGCGGTTCTCCTGCAGCGGCAGCAAGGGCAAGAGCTCTGAGTGCAGGGGCTGCGCGGCTCAGAGCTGGGAAGGGGAGAGGCCCATGGCATAGGCTGCAGCCTACGTCCAATCCTGCCTAGCTGGGTGCCCTGCGCAGCTCCCCGGGCCTGCCGGTGCGTGGGCGTAGCTGGGCACAAAGCAGGCGGCATCAGCTTGGCTGTGGACAAAGCCCAGTCTCCATGGAGGTTGCCCCATGGGGAGTCCCCCCACCCCCTTTGCAGAGCTATTGGCCTGCACCCCTGGCAGCTGGGAGAAGCCTTACCTGGCGCGACTTCCCTGCATGCTTGATGCTGTAGAACATGGGGCCCAGCTCCGCTAGCCACTCTCCATCCACGGACGTGACACACTGCATGTACTCCTGGGGGGAGAAAGGGCAAGGGCAAGGGCAAGGGCAGGCCACGGGTCCCACCCTCCCCTTCCCAGGCACCACTGCCACACGGCCCTGCCTGCCTCCCGTGGCCCCAACAGCCCCCTCAGCCCAGCACTAACCCGCACGATGGAAGGCAGAGCTCCTGGGGAGGGCCAGGCCCCAACCCCCCGTGAGAACATCCCGC